GGGAACCCACTATTGCAAAGACAGCTCCAAGTCGTGAGGGAGCCACCTCATGATCCACACGCCTTCCGCCAGGCCCCACCTCTAGCACTGGGGATCACAATTCAACATGAGATTCAACATGAGATTTGGGTGGGGACAGACGTCCAAACTGTGGACAGAGGTGATGCTCCTCAGGGTCTAGTGGTTGAACTCTGGAACACCAGTGAAGAGAACGCTGGTGTCTTCGTCTGCCAGGCTGCTGTTACAGAATACTACCAACTGGGCCACTTAAGCAACGGAAATTTATTTTCTCAGTGCTGGAGGCTAGAAGTCCAAGAACCAGGTGCCAGCAGGTTTGGTGTCTCCTGAGGCCTCGCCCCTGCGCTTGCAGGTAGCCGCCTTCTCACTGGGTCCTCACAGGGCCTTTTTCTTTGAGCCAGTGTAGAGAGCTCTGTTCTCTCTTCCTCTTTTTATAAGCACACCAGTCCTCTTTAATTAGGGTCCCACCCTTATGGCCTCATTTAATCATCTGTTGTATTTTTTTGGAGATGAGGTCTCACTGTGTTGCCCAGATTAGCCTCAAACCCCTGGTCACAAGTGATCTTCCCACATCGGCCTCCCACAATGCTCAAATGACAGGTGTGAGCCACTGCGCCCAGTCTTATTTCACCTTAATTACTAATTTAAAGGTGCCATCATGGCCGGGCGCAGTGGCTCACACCTGTAATCCCAGCACTTTTGGAGGCCGAGGTGGGTGGATCACTTGCAGTCAGGGGTTCGAGACCAGCCTGGCCAACATGGTGAAACCCTGTCTCTACTAAAAATAGAAAAATTAGCGGGCGTGGTGGCACGCGCCTGTGATCCCAGCTACTCAGGAGGCTGAGGCAGGAGAATCGCTTGAACCTGGGAGGTGGAGGTTGCAGTGAGCCGAGATCGCACCACTGCACTCCACTCCAGCCTGGCGACAGAGTGAGACTCCATCTTAAAAAAAAAAAAAAAGAATCAGCTCCGGTGCAAGCGAGGCCTTCCTTGAGTTCTCCCAGGTGCTCTGCCAGGAGGTTTGTTGTTCCACCGAGCTCTCATTGCACCTGCGTGAGCTCTAGCATGGCCCTTTGCATATGATGCTCGAATCACTGGTAGATGTGTTTGTTTCCGACCTAAACAAGAGCTCTTCAAGAGCAGGGTAGCATCCAAGGGCAAGGACCATGTCTTGGTCACCTTTGGATCTGCAGTATGTATGGCAGTGCCAGGCACAGAGTGGGTACTCATTATATACTATTTGGGTTTTGCAGGGGTTGTTTTTTTGGCAGGGTCTCTTGTCGCCCAGGCTGGAGTGCAGTGGTGTGATCACAGCTCACTGGAGCCCCAACCTCCCAGGCTCAAGCTATCCTCCCACCTCAGCATCCCAGGTA